TTGGGTGGGTGCACATGTATTCCTCATCCTCCCTTTCTGCATCAGTTCAAGTGATCACATGCTTGAATTGATCCAAAAAGATCTGAAATTTTTAGAAGTACAAGGTTTCCTGGAGGAAAGGAAAAGCTGTGGATTGGGGAGAGGGGAGCAATCCAGGCTGATTCGCATTTCCCATCTAATCGATAGGGGGACAAAAAAGAATCAGCCCGCCCCAAACCCATTGTATTTTTTCACAGTTTCTATAATGTGGCCATTCCATCAGTGGGCCTCAAGCAGTAAAATGCCTCCTATTTCACTTATTGATGAATCCACACCTTCTGTAATTACATTTCATCGCAAAACTCTAACGTACAACCAGAGGATATCCATGCCATGCACGTTCAATCTTTCTCCATGCAGAAATAATTCAGGCATTTACAGTAGGAACCTCTTATCTGCAGGATCAGTATCCACGGATTCACTTATCCACAGTCTGAAAATATTAAAAATATTAAAACAAAAATCCTAAAAATATTTAGAAAACATTCTAAAGATGATGTTACCAGAACTAGCCACTAGAGGGAACCACAGACCATGCTATGTATTATGTCCGCTATTAAAATAGCATTAACTATAATTCGGTTTTTTTAGCACCCACAGGGGAACCAATCCCTCACAGATATGGGGTTCCTACTGCATTTATTGACACCTTTCCACAGCCAAAATGAAGGAACAAGCAGTAGCTTGGAAATCACTAGATATATGATTTCAAGAACATTGAGACACACATTGAATATATCCATTGAATGAAGAGACTGCTGGCTGATGAGAGGCAGATTGTTAACTTGGTCAGTCTGATGTCATGCAAGGAAAAAGAAAAGCTACTTTAGAGTCTGCATAGAGTCTTTGTATGTTTCTCCATTTCAGTGGAAGATTTTATAAAATCCAGGTCACACATATGTGAGCTTTGAAAATTTACCGTCAGCAAGAAGTTGTACAAAATTCAAGTTAAAAAAGCAGAAGAAAAACCTAAATTCCACAAGATACCACTGAGTTCCAATTGCTTTGAATAAGGAACATGGAGATGTAAGACTGACATTTGAGAACATACAAACACTCCAGAGTACTCTAGGGATTTGTGGCTGATTTAGTTTAGTCCAGTGTGGAGATATCTGAAAGGTCATATCTGAAATCCTCCTGTTCAAGGAGGTATGGCTCATAAGGCTGATGACATCATCAATTTTGGTGAGTTTTTGGAAATTAAAAAAAATCTGTTCCCCCTCCCAATGTCCCAAGGGTCCTGTGGGAATCCCTTTTTGTCATGTGGAAGCTTTTGGGGGCTGTGGGATATGAGGAGTCTTTAATTTCCAAAAATCATTATTGGGGTGATTTTACTGGCAGTGGTGGCTTTGGGAAATTAGTGACCTCCTTTTGTCCTGCAGTCCCCAAGGGCCTACCTACAATGAACAGGATCCCCTGTGGGCCTCGGGACCTGGAGTGGGAGGTTAGAAATATTTTAGTTCCTAAAAATTGCCCTGGCTGATCCTATCATCACTCTTACATCGTATAAGTTATGGAAAATGACTTCAGTTCATATATTTTTTAAAAAAAATATGACAAAATAAATGGTGCTAAACATTAACACATATGAAAGCATGGTTGAACAAACCTATGGTTTTCTGCCAATTATTATTATTTTACTTGATTGTCGTTCCACTGTTGTTCCTTATAATAGCTCAGGTTAATAATTTAAAAACAATTGATTTACATGCCATGTATCAAAAATCAATAATTTGATAATACAGTACCTTGAAAGAACATACTAATTGCCAAGCATGGAAAGGATTTTCTTATGACATTATCTATTTCAGCCAGATTCCAAGAAAAAAAAAATCAGGCTTTTATGTTCTTTTGGTAGAAAATGTGTCTTCTAAATGTTCTAGCAACATTTTTTTAAAGTCCTTTGCTTTGAATTTCTTTTCTGTGAAGAAATCTATTTCAGTAATGCAAACATTACTCTCTGGCTGTTCTGCCAAGCAGTTAGCCAAAAGTCATGGTGGTGTAATAGAGCCTTCCATGTACAGGATTTACATAACACCGAGACTGACGGAAACTGCTTTCTCTGTCTCCAAGTTGAAGTTTAAACCAGGATTGGGATTCTCAGATGTCTCACAAACTATAATCAAGTTCTTCAAGGGAAGGAAGGCGCAAGTTCTTTCACAATCTCACTAACAACAATATGTTGCACCTGATAATGTAGTAATCAGCTTTGTACCTTCATGCCAAGTTCACTCTTCTACAACAACCGCTGTTTTAAAATGGATTTCTCTCTTTGTGTAGGGTCAAAGCACCTGATGCTCTTTCACAAACATGCACAGCCACACTAGGCCCTTGTCCTTTCTGCCCTCCATTTCAGTGGTTCTAAACTAGAATCAGCACAGCTCTTAAAGAGAAAGCACACACACACCCCTGCCAAATTGCTGTGGAATGTGTTGCACTGCCATAAGAATATGCCAGATTCTTAGTACAACATCAATAAATGGCCACCTGTAGAGGAACAGACATTAATAAAAGGGAACCTCTCCGTCTGTGACTTTCCTCTTGTCCCCACACTTTTCCTCATTATTGGGCCATCCTACAGGTATTCCTCTAGTACAAGAAGGATGCGGGAATGTAGCAATATATTATGAAATGTGGCATGGGGAATTGGTGGGGGAGGAAGATGGAACAAGGCAGAAAGCAAAATTCAGGAACAAAACGCCGTGGGTGTCAGGTTTTGTATTCACTTACATGCCCTAGCAACACTAAATAAACAAGCAAAAAACAAAAAACAAACAAAATCCCTAAAAGAATGAAAAAAGAGGTTGATTTGCAAGAGGAAAACTTTTTTTGAGGATGTAAAAAAATGTTTGTAACCTTTGGGAAGAAAAGAGAATTCATACTGTTTTTTAAAGCAAATTTCTCTTCAGGTGGGAATACTGAGAAGGAGAAAGTTAAGTTGCATGCTAGCACACATGAATTCATTTTTATCCAGATCCAAACATCAGAGAAAACCAAGTTGCCTCTTTTTACATTCCATGTTCTAAAATTCTGGAAGAGCATGAACTGTTCCAGAGAAGAGCATCCTTAAAAATGCACCTAGTATAACAACAGATCTACCACAGAGGGAATGATTTCTTCCTAAGTACTGTTGGGCCAAGTTTTCATTTTGAAGTGCCATCTATAGACATCCAAGCAGAAAAGACAAGTAAACTAAAATACTCCTGCATGCCTGTCTGTGCCTGTCTTGCATGCCTGCCTGCTCTCACTGCTGCATTCTTATGGCTGCACAATTTTATGCTGGCCTTGATCTGGCCTCACAAGTTACATTGGGTAGCACTAGGAAAATTCATGAAAATAAAACATTGATATTTGTAGACAGTCAGGCAGATGAATTCTTAGGTTTGGAATATTTGCAGCATAATAACTCTTAACATGCCTATAACACTCTCAAATGTTTAGAGCATTTGGTTTAGAGCTTGCCTAAGGGCTCCAAATGAATTCATGGCATAGGTGAAATTTGAACAAGCAATCTGTACTTGATTTTGATTAGGATTCTTTGAGGAATACCATGACAGACGAATTGGCAGTAGAAACAAAGTGCAGGCTTGACATCCAGAATCCTGTTACTTTTGTCTGCCAGCTAATAGGGATGTGCCATTTTTTGGACTCTTATCTCCCAGAATTCTCCAAGAATCCACCTGGCAGAATTCGGAGAGCCCCAGTCTACTGGCTCACACTCTATTTCTCTTGGTTGGAGCAAGGCAGAAGCTACGTTCTACACCCCATGTCCTGATGCAATGCTTCCTTGGCATGGGAATTCTTTGGGAGGCATTCAGAATTCTGGGAGCTGGAGTCCAAAAAATCCAAATGGCTCATTCCCATTTGCTAACTCCTTTGGAATATGTTTACGCTAGTTAAGATGTTGGTCTAGCATTGGGTGCCTAACATTAGTCAAGTGACTGATTTCTTAACTTGTGCAATTTGCCACTGAAATTTAAGCTGGTGGATTTAATGCCAGTTTAATTTTTTAGTTGCATTCTAACCAACAGGTAGATTCTGATTCTGGTTCATTGCTGAGTCTTTCAGCCACTACACTAAACAAGCTTTGAGATAAAGTATGCTGTCATTCAGAGGTTGGAAAAGTAACTTTTTTGGTTGACAGGTCTCAGAATCCCCCAGACATCAGCGTCATGGCCGTGTTAACTCCGGGGTCTGAGAGTTATATATAAAAAAAGTAAACTTGCCAGGATTAATCATAACTTACTCTTCTTCTTTGTTTGGCAAAATAGTATCATATGAAGAGTATGGAGTATTTTGTCTAATCTTTTAATAATAATAATCTTTTATTATCTTTTAATACATTATTTTGTACCTGGTTCTCTGGAAATCCCAGTAGCAGTCAATCAATTAATGATATTACTTGACTTCACAGTGAATGTGGAACCGGTTGAGCACCTTCTCTGATAACTTACAGAGTTATTAGCAAACTGGGTTTGATGTTTGTTCAGAAATCAAACAAATGAATGGGAAAAAATGAAGCAAAGGTATAATCTACACCATATACATTCCCAGGGTTCTTTGAGGAATTATGTGAGAGTTAAACTTCCACTAAAAACCAAATATGCTTTTAATTTGTAGATATACCTTCTGCCTTTGATGTACCAATGAACATATCACGGGTACTTCAGACTTTTTCCATAATCTGGATAATTATTTTTTTAAAAAAATGGTTTTAATGTGATTTAGATGTTTTGAAAGAAAAAGAACAGCTCAGGAGGGATATAACTATGTTTCTGAAAAAACTATTAGAATTAACAATTTAAATGGCAAATATTAACAGAAATATTGACTTTGTACTTCTCTGTAATGTTATGAGTCCTCTATCCTGAGCCATTTATTGAGAGTGGCAAAAATGATTCTGTTAAGACATCAAAGTGTGATACCTGACTTTGGAGTATGAGAATCATAAACTTGCTTACGGTCTATCTGGTCAGCAAACACCTCCCCATAGATCATCCAATACGGCATGTAAAAAATATTTTTTGCCAATTTCCATGAAGGCTCTTCATTGGGGAAGAGTATTGCCTGCCTTGCAACACCAAAGCTCATCAGAACCACCAGCATAATAATCACAAAATACATCATATCTATCATCTGAAAGAAAAGAAAAAGAGAGAGAGAGACAGAGAGAGAAAAATATATATCTCATTTTGTCCTGTGAGGTAAGTGGGAAATGTTTGTAAAACATATGGATCATATTATTCAAGCATCTGCCTCCTAAGTAGGCTTGGCTTACTGTAGCATTCTTTCTCCAAGACATATTCTGGATAACTGTGCTAGCCCTTCCTTCAATCCTAAGTACCCTTTCAGATACTATGTTTTCTGGCTGCTATAAGTTCTTTTTATTCTTTTTCTCCATGTGGGCATTTCTTTTCCGGAGTCTGGGCTCAAGATCCTATTGATACATATTCCTGTTATATAAGTGAACATTCTATGTGTGGACAAATACAGTACATGTGGGAACTCAAGTGGAATTATGACTAAAATATTCTACAGTATTCTATTCATGGAATGTTACCCATTAACCTACACTGCTGTCAGAGTTGGCTCTGCTGTTAGGCAGAATGAAGCAGCAGCTTCAGGAAATATGACAGGAGCAGTGAATTGTACCACTTCACATGCTGGGAGATCCTCACATGTGCAGTCTAAACTTCTCCCTCCCTTTCTAGCCCCACTTCACCTTCCTGCAACCTCTATCCTCTGAACCTTGTACTCCCTGTTCTCACCTCCTCTATCTCTCACCCTACCTCATGCAGGTGTGTGGCACCTGCAGATGCTGCTCCTTCTTACTGCTGCCCAACAGCCTTCTGTGTACAAAGCGCTGGCTGCTCAAGCAACCAATGCATCTTTATACAGAACTAGCAGGATTAGGTGGACAATTTTTAAAAAGTGTAATGAGAGTACACTGAAGGGCAATGGCAAGCCATAGTGATGGGTTGCTTGCTGGCTGCAAAGATGGCGGCAATAACTTAGTTACTTAGTTACTTAGTTACTTACTTACTTACTTACTTACTTAACTTACTTACTTACTATGCTGCCAGATAAGTGCAAAGCACTATTTTGAATGGTTTACATAAAATAATAAAACACAGGAATAATTGTGAAGGCTTTCACGGCCGGGATCTAATGGTTGTTGTGGGTTTTTCGGGCTCTTTGGCAATGTTCTGAAGGTTGTTCTTCCTTATGTTTCGCCAGTCTCTGTGGCCGGCATCTTCAGAGGACAGCACTCTGTGCTCTGGTGTAGTTTGGCTTGGGAGTGCAGTATTTATGGCTGTGAGATAGGCTTTTGTCTTTTTGTAGATGGGTTATTAGTGTGTCTTGTTGTGGGTGTATTGTTGTGCTAAGGAGAAGAGATTATCTGTCACTGTGGTTGATGGGTGTCATTAGCTGGTCTTTTGTGTGTAGTGATCCCCTGTCCTTGTGGCTGGGTAGAGTTCATTGACCTTTTGCACGCTGTATTTTTGAGAGCTGGGAGCCAAGTTTTGTTGAGCTTCAAACTTTCCTCTTTTTTGTTGAAATTCTGCTGGTGCTTGTGGATTTCATTGGCTTCCCTGGCTTCCCTGTGCAGTCTGACGTAATGATTGCTGGTGTTGTCCAGTATTTCAGTATTTTGGAATAGAATTTCATGTCCAGTTTGTTTTAGGGCATGTTCAGCTACTGCAGATTTTTCTGGTTGTTTTAGTCTGCAGTGTCTCTCATGTTCTTTGATTCTGGTGTGGATGCTTTGTTTTGTGGTTCCAATATATACCTGGCCACAACTGCAAGGTATCCGGTATACTCCTGGTGAGGGGTCCCTTCTGTCCTTTGCTGACCGTAACATTTGTTGTATTTTTGTGGTGGGCTTGAATACTGTTTGTAGGTTGTGTTTTTTCAAAAGTTTCCCCATGCGGTCCGTGACCCCTTTGATGTATGGCAGAAATACTTTGTGGGTGGCTGTTTTTCTTCTTCAGTTCGCTGTTGTTTTCTTGGTTTGAGACTTCTTGTGATTTCATTTTTGGAGTAGCCATTTGCCTGTAGGCAAATGGCTATGTCTATCTCACAGCCATAAATACTGCACTCCCAAGCCAAACTACACCAGAGCACAGAGTGCTGTCCTCTGAAGATGCCGGCCACAGAGACTGGCGAAACATTAGGAAGAACAACTTTCAGAACATGGCCAAAGAGCCCAAAAAACCCACGACAACCAACAGGAATAATCACTTGACATGTCAAATTGGAAGTCAAAAAGAATGCTGTCATTTAAACTTCCTAGCAGAGTTTTTGTGTCCTCCTAGCAGACTTACAGTAACCTGATTTTTTGATTACTCTTGTATTTCATCTCATTCCCAAAGGTTTGGTTGACAGAAGTAGGCCTTTCTACTCTCATTAGGACTGCTCCTTTACTCCTGAATGGATTCTTCCAATCCTGTACTAAGAATCGATTGTTGCTGCTCTCATCATGTTCACAACCTTTCAGCATCTGAACATAATTTGGAAACATAGACACACTATTTGGACTTTTATTTCAGCATAACAAGTAATGTCTGCCTTTCATGCTACAATTAAAATGTATTGTCTACTTTTATCCTTTGTTTTATTAAATATTGCTCTTGATCTTGAGGACTAAAAACTAGTTAAAGAACCAAGAACTTTCCAAGGAAAAGTGTGAAAGTTATGTCCTTAGAAAACTGTCTTGGGGTGGTGGAGGCCAAATATAAGTCTCTGGTATAAGAAACCCAACGAGCATGGCACAGAGGAAGGACTTGGAAAACACATGTTTTCTGGTGGCTAAAAGCAAGGGTTTTGAGTTGCATAGGGCCAGGTTCAGCATCACATCGAGAACTTATGAGAAACAAATATTGGTTTCCATTCAACAAAACAGAATACTGTTTCAGTCAGAATATGCAACACAGAAAAGAAGGATGGGAAACATTTCTTACCATTTTCCCAATCATCATTACATAGGGCCCCAAATACTTGTTCACCCCGAAGATGTCTAGCAATCGGATATACCAGTAAATGATGTTGACACAGTAGATGACACGGCCATCACTCCTGAAAGGCAGGTCCTGGAGGCGAAGTACCATGCCCACAGAGAACAGGAGAATAGCAATGAGATCGGTAACGTTCCAATACTCTTGAAGCCACACTTTCACCTTCTGCAACAGCTTCCCAGGTTCTGACATTAGTATCTAGAGAACATGAAAGAGGGGATGTGGGGAACATGAAAGAGAGATGCCCCAGAAAGCACAGCAAGTGTCCTTATTAAAAGGAAAACTCAATCTGATACACTCTTCTTGAATCAGGCACAATCATGCAGTTAAACAGAAGCACTTGGAAGGATAGTTTGGAGTGGTGCCCTGATCTCTAGGTCACCTGAAGTCCATCTTGAGATGGGATATGTATGCCCTAGCCCTATCTGGCTTAATGACTCACCAATCTACATCCTAGAGAAGGAGATAGAATATGAATGGTCAAATGAAGCTATTCACAATGGCTTCTTGGAATTTGTCACATGTACACAGCTGCAGGAGCCATATGACAGCTGGATCCTTAAAGCTCCCCATCCTTACACCTCTGGCATGTTGAGCATGTGATATAACGCAGACAAGTTCCATCTCTTGTATCTCCTAGAAGCCCTGGAGAGTTGCTGCCAGCCAGTGCTGACAATACTGTCCTTAGATGGATCAATGATCTGACTTGGTATAAGGCAGGCTTTTATTATGCCCTATGTCTTATGTAAGGCAGTGTTTACAGCACAGTAAGTCTCATTAGAGCAGGCCTACTGAATCAGTGGGGACTTGGTGAATTAACATCTCTTTAAGTTCCATTGATCTAAATAGGTCCACTGTACTTGAACTTAATTATGCTAAAGTGTCACAACTACAGTAGGTCCATTTGAATCAATGTCACTTACAGAGAAGTTGACTCCCCAAATCCTCACTGATTCAATGGGCCTGCTCTTAGTGAGACCTACTACACAACAGGATTTCAGCCATTATCTATTATGGAATGTCTAACACAAAAATAACATCTCCTTGTAATCTTGCTCTGTCAGGACCCATCTTATCCTGACTCACCTTTCAGTTAGAGCACGGGGTTCTGACTGTCTGGGTGGATGAAGTGGTGTGGCCAGCCACTATATGGCATGGCTGTGGTACTCAGGAGACTTTGGCTGAAATCCTGTTGTGCTGCTATGCAAAGGGCATAGCTTTTGGAGGCAAATTGCCTCAAGTTAAGATATATGTAGTCATTATTTGTTGCCTACTGAGTTGTGTGACTTGGGGTGCATTATGTAATGTCTGCACCGATTTCTTAACTTCAGGCAGTTTGCCTCCAAAAGTTGGGCCTTTTGCATAGCAGTAAAACAGGATTTCACTCTTTGTGTAGTTAGTATTGTCTGGACTTGGATGTGACCAAAAATGCATACAGGGTGTACACTGTGCTTGATTATTTCTTTACATTATAGCAATGCTTTAGAGTAATACAAACTTCACAGGGCAAGATCAAGTCCTTATATTACATATTTTCAAAGCATCTAATTTAGCATCTAATTTTCTACTATATATACTAGGTGCTTTAAAAGGTCCTGTTTTTCTTTATTCTTTAAGGTAAAGGTAAAGGTTCCCCTTGACAATTTGTCCAGTCATGGCTGACTCTAGGGGGCGGTGCTCATCTCTGTTTCCAAGCCGTAGAGCCAGCGTTTGTTCAAAGACAGTTTCTGTGGTCATGTGGCCAGCACGACTAGACATGGAATGCCGTTACCTTCCTACCGTGGTGGTACCTATTTATCTACTCGCATTTTACATGCTTTCTTAATACAACTTTCATTGCATTTTGAATCCAAGAAATATATTATTCTCTTTGTTAAGCCTCTTGTCAGTTTACACATCTTTCCAGTAAATAGGCTACAATGTTAGTAATTTTAAGTATTGAAAGTACTTTGTACCATAAGACACACTTTTTCCCCACAAAACAGGGGGGTGGAAAGTCTGTGCGTCTTATGGAGTGAAGAAAACAGATTATATTTTCCTGTTTTCTTCTCCTAAAAAATTGGTGCGTCTTATGGAAAGGTGCGTCTTATGGAACAAAAAATACAGTATATAAGGATAATTACTGCAAACATTTGACTTATTTCCTTTTTCCTTTCTTAAAAAGAGGAATGTTGTGGATCCACCACTTAATATGGCACTGGAGTTTTACTACATGACTTTATTTGTTTTCCAGAAAGGCATAATTTCTTGGACCATTCTGGAGACATTCTCTATGAATGCTCTCTAGGCAGACACTGGCATTTTCAAACTATTTAGAGACAAGGACCAAACAACAACAACAAAAAAAACACAATAATTTACTGGGAGGAATTACACAAAACCTCAACAGCAGTATCATCCTCTGTAATCATTTCAACTCTTTGAAATTCTTTGAAGTTTTTATCAATGATCAAGAGCCCTCTTGTGGTTTTGGTGAATATTATTTTCTTTCCTGATTCTAAGAGTCCTTAGATTAAGTATGACCATATTGTTTTGGGCAATCACAGTTAAAATGCAAGCACATGAAGAAACAAACTTCATTTTTTATATCAGGCAAAAAAAAAAAGACAAAAATGTTGTGGCACCTTAAAGACTGACTACTATATTTTAATTTTCTGAGACATTTTAATGAAAACTTTTAAGACCAGAGTCTGAAATTTTACTAGAAAAGGCTTCAATAATTTTGATTTTAGTCAGAGGATCCCATATCCAATTTAACATTTATTCCTGGATAGCTCAGTGGTTTAGGTCTCTGTGGAGCCAGAGGTTGGCAGCTTGACTCCCCCACTGTGTCTCCTTGACAGGGGCTGGACTCATTGATCCATAGGCTGCCTTCCAGCTCTGAAGTTCTGAGATTATTATTCCAGCAGATACTCCTATAAGTGGAAGGGGGAGGACATGTTTGCTGTAGCCTTTTCAGAATGTCCCCAGTCACTGCCCCAACCAAGATGTTATAGGACACAAGTGACTGCAGGAAAAAGGAACTAAGCAAAAAATTAGTTTCTTCTACTCTTCAGTAGTCTCATGAGTGAAGGAGGATTTCTCAGAATCCAAGCTCTTTTTAAGGATACAGTTTAGAACAGGTTGTTCTTACAATGAAAATGGAAGCACAGAAAAGCAGTTTTTCATTTATATCATTCAAGGGAACATTACCTCTCTCATCTTCTCTATTCCCATTGTAAAAATATACGAGATGACTATCCACTCCTGCGTGGAAGGCCAGCGTTCCATCTTCACCAACACGATGTAATTGAACAGCATCAAATATCCAACATATGCCATCTGTAATATATAAATATATATATACATGTATCCATAAATCCAAATTTTCCTGTGTACAAATTTTCATCTTACATATATTACTTAATGTAATTCTATCATGTTTTTATTCCCAGACATTAACAACAACAGCAGCAAAAGGAGCAGCAGCAGCAGCAACAATAACAGGTTTTATACCAAGAAGGCTGAGATTCTGGTCCAATTATTCCTTACAATGGCAACAGTCCCAACTCACAGCACAAAATTCCTCCAACTGCAAAAGTTTAGAGAGTAAAACTCAAGGAAAAACCAGACTATGCCTGGTTTCTTGAAGTGATTAAGGTCTTCTCCACACTGGGGTGCTGTTCCTGGTTGTTTTGGGGTTGCTTTGGGTCATTCTGGTATATTTTGTCGCAGATTTGAATAGATAATTTTGGTACTGGTGTCCACCCATGGGGAAAGTATTTGCTGCTGATCGTATTGGGATGCAGTGGGTTGTCCTGCTACTGCCTGTCTACACAAATCCAGAACTGTTCCCTGATGTCTCACTTGCAACATGGACTATTCAATCTGTTGGCCCCTTTTGCCTCTTTTCTCTGCCTCATCTCTGCCTACTTTGTTCTTTCTTCCCTCCCCTCATTTTACCCACCTACCCTTCTTAAACCATGTTGTTGGACAAATGCTTTCTTTTTTTAAAAAATTTTAGCTTTCATTTTTGTGTTCTGATGCAAAAGCGATGATATTTTTAAAAAGCTGGGTGCAGGAACAGTTGCTATGTCCCCTGTCCTCCCAGCTTCATTCATTCCCTTCTTCCTTCTTTGATTTACCCACAAAGAGGGGTGCTGATAAGTATTGAGCCTTTCGCAGAAAAAATTGAGCTAGGAAGCTATATGTTGCAGGTTGTATTGGCCAATTTGTCTGTATTCAATGGTGGAAAAATCAACTACCTATGATTTTAACTTAACTTTCATATTCGGGTCCAAAGTGAACATGGCAGTACCTCCAGAAAAGTTCAATGTGGAAGGGCATAGGACCATAATCAAGTTCTTGTTTCTCCAAGGGAAAGGTGTAAAGACATGATGAAATGTCACAAACTATGGGTGACAGTGGCCCTTCATATGCAACAGTTAAATGTTGGGTTGTCAATTTTAAAACTGACCATTTCGGTGTTGAAGGTGAGAAACCCAGTTTCCTACTACCTCTGAATTCAAAGAGAGCACTGCCTCTCTGTCAGTGCTTTCCCACCCTCTATTTAGTTTTGTGATCTGTTGCTAAAGGCAGTCATGTTTTTCAGCTGCTGTTTGACCTATTCAGTTTTAAGCAATGACATATTTTATCCTTTCTCCTTTAAGCTCTCAAAGTGAGTTATTGAGACTGTAAGTGTCAGGTTTATAATATTCAGTTTTAAGCAATGACATATTTTATTCTTTCTCCTTTAAGCATCTCAAAGTGAGTTATTGAGACTGTAAATGTCAGGTTTATAGGAAAAAGGGGTGGTCTACTTTGGGGAACCTGAAGCTATTCTCCTCTGTGAATCCCCACACTTCTGCTGTGCAGCTAGAGGAATTTAACCAGAATTCAAAACTCTGCAACACTTACCTGTTCTTAAACCTTATGATTTTGGCCAATATGCTATCTACTTTTATTTATTTTTAGTTTTCACTTTTGCACCATAATACAAAAGTGACTTAAAAAAAGCAGTTCTAGATAAAAAATTGGACATAAACAGTCAGACGTTAAGAAAAGGGAAAAAAGAAAGAAGGACTATATTACTGAAAAACTTCCGGTCTATAGCAGAAGAATTTCATTTGGTAGATGCATGGAAAGCAACACATATAAAAGAGAAATATTATACATTCTATTCAAATTCGCATAAGACTTGGTCTAGAATAGATGGATGTTGGATGCCAATAAGTTGAATAAAAATGATGAAGACTATAGACATATTGCCAAGAACATTTGCTGATCACAGTCCAGTTATTTTACAACTGAATATGCAAAATAAAATATCACTCTGGAGAATGAAGGTTTTAAGAAAGAAGTGATGCAAGAAATGTCTTGGTTCTTTAAGGAAAATAAAACCCCAGATGTATCAATGAGAGTAGTCTGGGATGCAGGAAAAGCAAAGTTAAAAGGGATAGTTATAAAGCATGTAGCAAGACAAAAAAAGGAAAATAAAATATTCAAAAATACAAAGAATTAGAGAAAAACTATTCCAGTTAGAACAACAGTCAAAACAAAATAGCTTAACTGAAAAACTAGCAGATAATATAAAATCAGTACAACATCAAATAAATCTATGGTGGATGTCAGAAATGGCAATGAAGATAAAACAAGTGAAACATTTTTTTTTGAAAAAGCAGGCAGATGGCGTTTCTATAGATTGAGAAAAGAACAAACAAGAAGCCAAATTATAAACCTTAAAGTCCAGAAAGGAGAGACTAGATGCGAGCAGAAGGAAATAAAAAAAATTGTCAAGGATTTCTATCAAGGGCTATACAATGAACCAGGGAAATTAATAATAACTAGATGGGAGCAGAAGGAAATAAAAAAAATTGTCAAGGATTTCTATCAAGGGCTATACAATGAACCAGGGAAATTAATCATAAAGCAAAGAGAATATCTACAGAAGTTACAGTTAAATAAATTATCTAAAGAAAATAAAGAGATCTTGAATTCCTCAATAATGATGTGTGAAGTGGTGGAAGCTATTAGAAAACAAAAGAATAATAAATCTCCAGGAAGTGATGGATTACTGGCTGAATGCTACAAGAACTTTGAAGAGGTTCTAGGTCTACCTTTTAAAGAATTAATTGAAGAAATAGAAACAGAAACAGAAATGCCCACTTCATGGAAAGAAGCAATAACTTCAGTGATACATAAAGAAGGTACTGATCAATCAAAAATCCGAAACTGTAGACCAATTTCATTATTGAATGTACATTATAAAATTTTTCCATCAATATTAGCAAATAGACTGAAAAAGGTTTTGGTGCAGATCATTCATCAGGACCAATCAGGATTCTTACCAAAAAGACAAATGAAAAACAACATCAGGATAGTATTGAATGTTTTGGAATACTATGAAGTTCACCATGAAAAACAGATGTCCCTAATATTTTTCGATGCAGAGAAAGCCTTTGACAATATGAACTGGAATTTCCTGCTGACACAGTTGCAATTAATGGAAGCTGGATAAAAGTTTATAGGAGAAATTAAGGCAATATATTTCAAACAAGAAGGAAGAATCAAAGTGAACGGAGAACTGACAGAAACTATTCAAATTGAAAAAGGTACAAGGCAAGGATGCCCGCTGTCCCCTCTACTGTTTATTCTTATGCTGGAAGTCCTGAATCAACAAATAAGAGAAGATAAGAGAATCAAAGGATTAAAGGTTAAAGGAGAAGAATTCAAAATTCAAGCTTATGCTGATGATCTAGTAATAATCTTAGAAGAATCTATGATGTCAATAGAAACATTAGTAAATAACTGAATATGGATATATGTCAGGTCTTAAAATAAATAAA